GGGGGGGTAGTTGAACGCTGTGCTGGTTCAAAAAAAAAAAAAAAAAAAAACTGCAAAAAAAATAAAAAACAGTTGATGAGTGTTTCTGCCGCCCTTGTTTGTGCCCTTTCCACCAGCTGGTCCTCCTGGTGCTCAGCCTGGTTCACTTCTGTCTTCGGCTCTACAGTATGATGGAGAAGGACGTTCTTATCTGCTGGAGAAAACCAAGAAACTGGCTGGAGGTAGCCTCCCTTATCATTTTGTGAAAAATGACAATAAAGTGTTTGTATCTTAAAAAATAATGACTTCAATGAGAAATTGATTATGCACTGGTTACTTCCAACGTTATTGCCGTTTTCTCCCACTGTGGTGTCAATGCCAAAATAGCACTGGCGATTTTTTACAGCTACCATCCTGCACCACGAGGTGACACTTCAGTCAGGGCTAGCTGGCCTGTAAAATTATAACAGAGCTGAAAACCCCCGTCACCTAATGATGCCTCGACCATCTGACCCTGTGTAGCTTAGGCTAATAATGTGTGTGTTTGTGTCTTAGTATTTGACAAAAAGGTTTAAAAAGTAAGAGAAAAATAAAAATAAATAAAAGAAAGTTTAAAGGATAAAGATAGAGATAATATTTCCGTACAGCTGTACAATGTGTTGGTGTTTACATCTTACTACAAAGGAGTAAAAAGGTTAAAAAATTAAAAGCTCATAAAGTAAAAAATTTGCAGTTAAGCTAAACTTAATTTATTAGTGAAGAAAGATAAAAATCTTAATGAATTTAGCGTAGCCTAAGTGCCCAGCATTTATGAAGTCTGCGGCAGTGCAGGGTGACACCCTGGGCCTTCACACTCACTCACCTCTCATCACCAACTCCCAAGGCCACTTCAGCCCTGTGTGCTCCATGGGTGGAAACGTCCTTTACAGGTGCACCTTTTTTTATCTGTCCCCCGTCTCCTCTGTATACCTTCTCTGTGTTTGGATGTGTTTAGATGCACTACTGTGTTACAGGCCCCTGCAGAGTCCTAAGCATTCAGCACAGTGACTCACTGGCCAGGGGCAGCCTAGGAGCAGTGGCCATGCCATGCAGCCTGGGTAGATGGCACAGACTATTCTGGTGTCTATGTCCTCCAGGTTTGTGTGAGTCCTCGCTATGAAGACTACACAATGACAAAATCATTGGGATGTATCCCTGTCGTTAGGCTTTGGGTGACTGTGATTAACAGCCTGAATCGCAGGCAGTGTCAGGCAGGCCCCTCCTCTGGCCCCATCTGAGCAGCCCCTTCCTCACGGGTGTTGCAGCTCTCTGTGACTGGAGTGAGCCTCGCCTACTATGTGGCCTCCAGCTACCAGGTGACACTTGCCAGAGACGTCATCGACCAGCTCCACCAAGGACTTAGCCAAGTGTGTCTGGACCTCACCATCATGGCATCCTGGAACCAGGTATGGCAGGGGGTCAGGGCCACACAGATGGGGCCATGCTCTGTGACACTGCCCAACACTGGTCACTCAGGACAGTGAAGGGCACGGGGACTTAGGACCTGCTTTTCAAGTGGGGGAAATGTGGCTTCTGGGGGGAACAGAACTCATGAGCGTAAAATTCCTCCAGGGACCTGTGGGATCCTGAGGCCTAAGCAAAGAGGTGCTGTGCTGTGGGGGGGGGGGGGCACATAGACTTGCTCAGACACATGGTGTCTGTTCTCTCTCTCCACCTGGGTAGTAGTCCTGGTGCAGGTGGTCTTAGGCACTCGACAAGTGAAGACCCGAGGTTGAGGGAAAGGCCTGGGTCCTATGAGGAGAACTCAAAGTCCCTACACCTCCACCCTCCCCGCCCCCTACCCACGGTGGTTCTTTCTGCAGGGACTGGATCCCAGCTGGGATGGAAGCCCGCACAGGAGGACCAGGCTAGCACACATACACACAGGGCTGGGTGAGCCCTGGAGAGGTTCCCATGGGGCGAGCAGGGGCCCCCAGCAGGCTGTCAGGCCCTGGCTGGAGTTCCACCCTCCTGATGCAGTGGACGTGTGGACATGTGGATGTCCAGCCCACACTTGGCTTCCTGGCCCCACCACTCCCACAGTTAGCTCCTCCCTCCCCCCACAGACCACCTTGGACCTCCCTTTTCCACCCGCCTAGAGAGTAGTCAGGGCCCCGGACCACCCCACAGCCCAGAGTGACCTGGGTTGAGCAGGTTTTGGAACAACCAAGAACAGAGACCAGTTCTCCTCCAGCCCCGGGGCCCTCATCACCCAGCTCCACCTGCCTTCCCCCACCCTCCTTCTCCATCCTTCTGTGACCGGCTCCCTTGCCCACTGTGTGGGGAGACCTGGGCGGGATGAGGCTGCCATCCTCACACTCTGGGCTTCTTCCAGCAACGCTCCTGCTTCTGTCTCCTTGTTGGAGGTCATTTTGTGCCTTAGCCCAGAGCCCAAGCAGGGTAATTTCCTAAAGGATTTTTTTTTTCTCCTAAAGGAAAAGAATATACCAGTTTGATGAGACAGAGCCCTCACAAGTGAGGCAAAGTCGCTTTGTTACTCACAGATAGGCAGCAAGGGACAACAGAGCTTGGGATTCATCAGGAGCTGTTCCGCTCAGGAAAACGTACCGGAGTGAGCAGACTCTCGTCTGTGTGCCCCACTTGCACCACGGCTGAAGGACCCCATAACGCAGCCTCTCCTGGGTCATACATGGTGGGCACCATGATGTGCTGCGATGGAGTACTGTGGGGCACCCTCCTCTACAAGGGAATGGGGCAGAGTGCAGCCTGCTGCAGCCGGCCCTCCTGATCTCAGGATGTCACACTCCCAGTATGGTCACTCTGAGAACTACAGACAGGAAGAACAGAAGAGCGGGCCAGCCTAGGATGTCTAGGGACCTTTCCTGTGAGCACTCAGCAGATCCACTAAAACACGCCTTGAGCGATAGTTTTGTTCCCTGTCTGTCTCCCCCACAAGTCTGCAGCTCCAGGGGAGAGGGTGTCTGTTGTCACTCCCACCTTCCTGGCACCAATCTTGGGCCTGGTGAGGACCAGCTGTTTAATTTGTTGGCCTCTCCTGGGCAATGGGCTCCTGGCCCACCTTTTGCTGTTTGTCTGTGCTAGTCAACCCTCTTCCCATTAGCTGGGTTCTGGTCACCTGTAACTATGGCCTTGCATGGCTCGCCACCTGCAGTGCTGACAGCCTGGCTTCCCCTTGCCTGTGCCCAGAGCTACGGGGGTGGCCAGCGTTCTCTCTGTCAGTTCACAGCTCACCCGAGCATCTGACTAATTGCTGAGTGGGCGTGGGCGCTGGGGAGGGGGCAGAAGGAAGCACTTTGTAGGGTGCTCTTTTCACCCGATGTAGGTGGGGGGTGGGGGGCATTCCTAGAAGAAGCATGGTCAGGGCAGACATGACTCTGATCTACGCTCTGGCCTGATGACTCCCCGTGAATAGTCAGCCTCCTCCTGACTTCTGGCCTTGGGGAGTAAGTTTACCCTTATATCATTTTTCCCACTGATGTCCTATCTTTTTCATCATGTTCTGTGCCAGAAAAACTTGCCTGGGGAGATTCCCTCTTCCCTGGAGATACTATGCCAGGTACCAATTTCTGATTCCTCAATTTGTTGCTGAGTAATGGCCTATGTGTATTTAGGTTAAGTCCTGCACTGAGTTCTGCACAATCAAATGTACTTTAAGCTACATAACCACCTAATGAAACAGGCTCTAGTATGCCGCCCACAAAGACAGAGCTTCTGTAAGGCTGAACAGCTTCCCTGAGGTCACACACATCTAATTGGGGGTAGCACTGGAATTGGCTTCCAGTCTCAGGGATCTGAGTAGCCACAATTCTGAGAGCTGAGCTATAATGTGGCAAAATGGTCCTTGGAGGACACTGACTCACTGTCCTGCCCAGGAGTGGTCCGGGCAGAAGCCTGTGGTGCAGACCACTCAGTTCTGATGCAAACCACTCAGTTCTGATGCAAACCACTCAGTTCTGGGGCAAACCACTCAGTTCTGGGGCAAACCACTCAGTTCTGGTGCAAACCACTCAGTTCTGATGCTCTGTTGTGTTTCAGGACCACCCCCCTGGAAATGGGCAATGTACCCAGTATCTGTGCCCTGAGGGGTCCTTGTCTGCTCATCTCTGTGCTGGCCCCTCAGCCTCTGCCCACAGAATGGCTTTCTCTCCTGACCCCCCTTCTGTGGACACCCTCCCCATCCCCTGAAGTTTGTCAAACTAACCCTGTGGACAGTGTTAGAGGGATTTAGCTTTAACTTTAATTCAGTCTGCATCCCAGATACAGAAAGAATGAGACGTCTTCAAGATGAAAATGAATGATTTTCTAAGGATGCAGTTTATACCTTGATTAAAGAGCTATAATTCGAATGTGTGAAAATGGAAATGCACAGACTAGAATCAGCAGACCTAAGGCTTATTCCCAGCTCTTCTTTGCTTTGCCATCGTGCAAGTTGCCTAACTCTCTCCAAGTTCTAATAAGCTAAAACCCAGATACACCCCTGGAGGGCTGAGATTTGAGATTTGAGTGCACCGGCGCCCCTGTGTGTGTGTGTGTGTGTGTATTTGCCCATATGTACACACACATACATGTCCTTTGAGCACAGGGCTTGGCACCTGGTTGATGTCCTGCAAATGGAAGCCCTGATAATGACAATGACTAAGAAACCTTGATAACATCCGTCAATCTCTTACAGGCAAAAATGGGGCCTTTCCCCTCTGTCTGTCCCATGGGAGGTTACGGCTGTGCTATCCAGCGCAGGTGCCACCAGCCACATGTAGCTACTGAGGACTTCAAATGTGGTTGGTCCAAACCAAGATGTGTTCCGAGTTTTGGAATACTCCCTGGATCTCATAAACTCAGTATGAGAATGAAGAAATAAAAGATCTCAATGCTTTCTATATTTATTACACATTGAAATAATAATATTCTAGACATACTAGTTTAACTAAAATACATTATAAAATAAATTTCCTGTGTTTCATTTTACTTTTTGAGATGTAGCTATTAGAAAATTTGAAATTCCTCCTGTAGCTCGCCTTGTATTTCTCTTGGCCAGAGCTGGTCAGAGCTCTGTCCACCTGGTCCTCCCCACGAGCAGCCTGCTCTGAAGGAGGCTGGAGGTGTGATGGCCGCTCACAGCTGGTCTGGGTTTCGCTTGTCAGAGGTCATTTTGACCCTGTCCCAATTAACGAGGAAACAAAACAACATAAAGCCTTGCTTCGTTTCCCAAGTAGATCTTAAACTGCCCAGATGTGATTCTAAGTTACATCTCATCAACTTACAATCTTGGTGAAAATAGATGAGATCCCATACCCGGGAGCACTTTCCTAGGGAGCTGTCAGTGGGAAGGGGAGCCTCTTTACAGGACCCCTGGGGTGTGGCAGAGTGTGGGAAGTGGGGTTTGACGCTGGGTCTGCTGTGTTTTTGGCTGATCCCCTGTTTATCTAAGCCATCGACTCCAGAACTATAAAATGAGAGTGCTCCTAGTTTTTACAAGGAGTAAATTAAAATAAATCTACGTGGGACGTGTTGGTAGTCTGTAACCAACCGAATGTAACATATTCTACACAAATAAAGGTGGGAGGAAATGAACACACACTGAGTATTTTCTTTGACACGCCTCCTCCCTGCCTATGGTGGTAATTTTTTCACAGCCCAGGAGATGGAGGCTCAGAGGGAGAATACCTAGGCCTGCTCCATCCTGGTGTGTATAGCGATGGCCAGGCCAGAATTCAGACCGCCTTTCTGCATATGCTCTAACATGTTTACTTACGCCTAGTCCTGACTGACTCTGCTCCCGGCAGACCTCTGCACTGGTGTCCATCAGAGATTCGTGATAGGTAGAGTTCCAGCAAATCCAGTGGCTCCTCCAAGCGCAGCCCACTGGCGTGAATACGTCTGTGCACCTGCCGAGGACCCGCTGCTCACTGACACTCGGTCCTTCTGTCTAGAGGGTGCGGTGGCTCCAGGGAATCCTCCTGTTCCTCTTGATGTTAAAATGCATCTACTTGCCTGGCATCCACAAAACAATGGTGTCCTGCGCCTCCGTGAAGCGCCCCAGCGTCTTTGTGCCAGTGGTAAGAATTCTTCCCTTTTTCAAGTGATTTATCTAGTAAACCAACTCCTCTGTGTACTCACCTCAGCCCTTTCTCAAGGCAAAAACAAACTTCTTTCAAGATGAAACACCATTGAGAATTCCAGCCTTCTAATTTCAGGTGAGTGACATTGGTAGTTACATAGAAAGTTATGGTTGTGACAACAATAGCTTGATGTATTAAATACTTGTGACAACACATTGTTCTTGCTAATGTAAGCAGTTGCTATCATCTACTGAGCCTTTCCTAAGTGCCAGGAATTGCTCCTGGGGCTTCTCATGTATTACCGCACTTAATTATCACAACCAAACCTCAGCAGGCATGGTTCTGCTTGGGAGGAACAGGGGCTGAGAAGTGACAAGCCTTGCCTTGGCACTGTCACCTCTAGTTACCTAGGACCTCACTTGCCTATGTGGCTTCTCAGAAACACTTAGCTCTAACTCCAGGGCATGGTCAGGTCTGTCCTGCACAGAGTTGCCTCCCACACTGAGGGAGAGTCTCTGTCAAGGGCCCTGAGTTGGGAGACTCTGGCTGTCAGGACCCAAGTCTCATGAAACACACAGACACCACACAGGTCTGCTCTGGGGACTGTGGTCCCCCAGCCCTGCTCACCTTATGCTTGGAAGGACCAGCTCGGCAAACTGGAGCAGAGCGACCCCCCTTTGCAGGCAGAGAGAGCTGCATTCAAACCCTGGCTGTCCCTCCACCTAGCTTACCATGTGGACACAGGTCTGTTACCAAACCTCTGCCTCCAGAAAAATGCATTGGTGGTGTGTACCCAGGAGGGTCATGGCCAGCCTTAATGATTGTAAGTGTGTGGAATTTACTGAGCTGTTAAAGTGGCCATTATTAAAACCATTTAGCAACATGCAGAAATGCTTTCATCTAAGGAAAAAAGCAAGGATATAAACAAACTGTGTCTAACTTGAGTAGCAGGATTCTAACTTTCCTGAAAGAGTAGATGCATAGGAACAGCAGGAGCCTAGAGAGACCTCACAGACTCATTTGTCAAGATGTGGCCTCATGGACTTTCTTCTGAGTTCCACAGCTGTCCTGGAAATAGTACTAAAGTGGGTTCCAGTTCCAGGGGAGTAGGGAAGTCTCTGGGTCAGGGCCAGGGTCACAGATGGAAACCAGCAGGTGTCTGTGGCTACAGTCGGGGAGGGCCCTCTGATGGCCAGTCGCCTGTCCACACACACAGACCTCTGTGCACTGGTGACAACCCACTAATAGTTCTTCATCCAGCTGAGAAAGTGCATGCTGGCACCAAAGCTGCTGTGAGTACATGAACAAGGCACACAGGCTGGGCCAGCGATACGACCTCTGAGATCCCAGGCCCAGTTCTCGACCTGTTACAGCAACCAGAACCACTAAATTTACCCTGAGCTAACTCAAATGAGCACTTCCTAATGCTTCTTCAGTGGTTAATTTACTGAGCCCTTCCTGGGTATCAGGGACATGAAGATGGTGAGGGGACACCCCCTCCCCCCCTGCAAACAAGCACAATCTTCTAGAAGGTGTAGCCCCCATGTGCGGATGAGCCAGCCAGGCCTGAGGGTTGGAGGAGAGGCTGCTGACTGTCAAAACCAGAAGAATCTTCAGAGGAGGCCGCTAAGGAGAGGGTGGTGGCACCGGCAGGAAGGGCCCCTGAGAGAGCAGGGAAGAGTGCCCATGGCTTGGAGAGCTGGCCTGGTGGGCTGGGGGTGACGGCTGGGCAGGAAAAGAGGGACAGGAGACAGAGATTTGCCTCTTGGGTTTCCTGACATGAGCCACACTCCAGGAACTGCTCCTCCAAGCTTTTTGCTTTTTTAAACCCCAGACCAGTCTTCCGCTCCTAAGAAGCAGCTACCAACTCATTCACCTGGGCCTTTTCTCCCTGCAGGTGGCCGGGGCCCTGCTGCTGGCTGCCGGCTCCCACCTGCGCTGGGCTCTGCCCTCCACCGGGGCCCCACCGTCTGGCACTTTCACAGGCTCCTTCCCAGGGCTGCTGCTTCGTCTTCCAGGAAGAAACCAGAGAGACTTGTTCCTTGGCCTTTCTGAGTCGGACTCAGGGGCCGCCCGTTACTGTGTGGCCCTTTCTACAGTAACAACCCTTCTGTGTTTGGGAATGGTATGTAAACGCAATCCAGACTTGGAAGTCAAGGTCTGTACAAGTTTCATCTGCTGTTGGGGTGAAACTTGTTGGGCCCTGTGGACCTGCGGGCTGCATAGGCCAGACCTCATGGTAATGAATCCCTGATCCCTTCTCACCGGCCCTGGGCAGAGGCTGAACAGGCTGACTCTCCCCAAGCCTAGAACAGTCCAGCCACACAGCCATCACGCCAGGATGCTGCCTCCTCCAGGAAGCCTGCCTGGCCCACCTGTGCTGCATCACATCTCCTCCCACCCTGAACTTTATCTCACACAACCTCACTCTTCCCATGTTATCAAAGTTGCGCTCTCCTCAGCCAGCTCTGTGGCCTGGGACTGAGGGGGGCGTGGGCCTCCCTATTTCACACCTTCCTACTGACCTGCCAACCTCTCCTGCCACCCCCACTTGGAGCTAACAGGTTTAGCAAAACTGGACACCCAGTGACAGTAAGTTCTTAGTTTTAGCAAGCTCCCGTAACATGAATAGTTCAGATATGTTCATTAAAAATTGTAGTTATGACAGGAAATTAAATGAAACTGGATGTGCTGTATTTCACCCTCCCTGCCTCGGCCCCACCTGCTCCTCCTGGTCCCCTCTGTCCTGCCCAGGGCTGTAGCACCCCTGTCTCACGGGGTGGGCCCTGCACCTCTATTTTCAGAAAGCCCTGCGAGTATTCTGTTGAAGGCTCGGGGTTGGGAACCTCTGCTCTGTGCTTGACTCGGCCTGAGGGCACCATTTAGACATGTTTACATGCTTGCTGTATACACTCAGTGCAGACACTGCACCCTCCCCGCTCCACCCTTCCCCTGTGCTGCAGGGTGCTGTGTCCTACTCACTCTACAGGAAAGCATCAGTGTGGTGTCCCTTCTAGAAGCTCTCCCCACACCAGCCCCAGATCCCCACCAGCTGGGCCGCCCCTGGAGCCCCCGAGGCTCTGGGCATGCTTCCTTGCCACACCCATGGCCTGTGGTGTCATCTTCTGTCTGCCTTTGAACTCTGGCCACATTCATAACAGATCTTGGTGTGCCTGCCTGCCAGGATAATTCCTCACACTTTGCAGAGTGTCTCACATTGGCAGAATATTCCATGAGTTGAGTATTCATGATTCATAAGTAGGTTAAAGTTCTCTGCAGTCTTTATCTGTATTCTTGTCGTGGAAGCAGAAGTGACTGCTTGCGCTCACACCTTGGCAACACTCAGAGCTGAGTCCTTTACTTCTATTCTCCATGCTCGCTACTCTCTGCTCATCCTTCCACCCAGCCACCCTTCCCTTCACTCACTAATCCACCTACCAACTAACCCCTCTAGTTACCTCTCTGTCTATACACCCATCTACTCCTTCACCCATCCATCCAGCCATCCACTCACCTGTTCATTCACACACACATTAAACAGCCACTCAAGGAACAGCCCCCATTATATTCAGGCAATGAAGAAACGAGATAATAACTGGTTCCTGGGCTCGGCGCCTATAGCTCAACCGGCTAAGGCGCCAGCCACGTACACCTAAGGTGGCGGGTTCGAATCCCCAGCCCGGACCCGCC